GTACTATAGTAGAGAGACGACTAACTAAATAAAATAAAATTAAAATTAATTAAACTAAATAATAAACTAAACTAAACTACCTACGTAAGTTAAAGTTAGGATTTATGGGGTATTTTGGTTAATTTATATTTTGAAAATTATTTTTTATATTTTTATTATATTCTCATATTTTTGATAAACACACGCTCCAAAATTCAAATCATTCCAATTTGTAGAAAAAAAATGAAAATTAAAATACTACCGGACAATTGTGGTCGTGTGATGAACTTTGGACGGTGATGAGCATAGACGAAATCACTGTTCATTTTCGCCTATAGGTTATACGTAGTGTTTTCCTCTCTCTCTCTCTCTCTATATATATATATTAGATGTTTTTCACAATGAACCCACACCCTATTTTATATTTTTCTATTTTTTTGGATTTTCTGAAGCTTCTCGGACAGTAAAAATCATTTTTTTTCTAAATCCATATTTTATAAAATTTTCCAGCTCATATGAACGTGTTAGTTTTACATTGATCTTGGTTTGGTTTTTGTTTTACTATTTTATTTTATTTTAAATTATTTTTTATTTTTAAACCTTTGTTTTTCTCTGCACACTACTCGGGCCAATCCGCTGACTCAGTTTGAGCAATGGCCAAGGTTCGAACCGAACCTCGCTCCTAACTAGTTATCATATGCATGAGAGAGAGAGAGAGAGAGAGGGAGGGAGAGGTAGGGAGAGTATAGGCATGAACACTAGTTCTTTCAATGGAATGGAATGAATGAGCTAGGCATTGTCTCGTATGCATATGTGAATGAGAGGGAGAGAGTTAGTGTATTGTTTTCTGGGAATGGAGTGAATGAGCTAGGCATTGTCTCATATGCATATGAGAGAGAGAGCATACATATATATTAGACCATGCCGATATATTCTTGAGAACACCAATGTATGTATCATGTGCAAAGCCAGTGATGAAACTTTGCAACATCTTTTCTTTTTGTGCCCTTTTGTTATGCATATTTGAGATTGAGTTCGCTTTTTCCTCTCATGCCTATTGTGACTTATATTTGGGATTGGGCTCGCCATTTCTTTGGGATTGGACTCACCATATCTTTCGGATTGGACTCGCCAGTACTTCAATCTGTCATTACTTTTGCCCCAAAATATCAGAGCTCTTATTGACTAATGGATCGCACCCGATATTTCAAAGATGGGAACTATCTTTTGGAGATATATTTGGGTTAGTATTATTTGAAATGTGTGGAAGGAAAGAAATAGAAGAGTTTTGATAGTATAATTACAGATCTGTCTATATTAAAATCGAATATTTTGACACTTGCAGTTGATTGGTTCCTTGCACATAAAGATAGTGGCTTCATTCCTAAAAGTCTTATCATTAGCAATCCTTCGATAGTGGCGACTATGGGTGTTACCATCAACTCGCAGTGAAGTTGTTTGGATACCACCACTAGTGACTTCCTTCAAACTTAATTTTGATAGAAGTTCACTTGGCAATCCAGAGCTAGCCGGCTATAGTGGACTCATCAGAAATAACTTGGGACACATTATTTTTTCTTACTCGGGTCCTTCTGGTATCACAACAGCAAATGAGACGGAAGCACGAGGTTTATTAAAAGGTTTGATATTGCTATGCACTTTGGAAGGGGACAGAATTATCGAAAGAGAATCGGCAAATGTGGGATATTTTGTCAACCTCTATCGAAAGAGAATCGGCTAAGAGAAAGGCCAAAATCCCTTGGAGATTAAAGACTATTTTTCATCAAATTTGGGATATTTTGTCAACCTCTATGGTAACAGTACAACATTGTTATAGAGAGGCGAATGAAAATGCCGATATTCTTGCTAAATGAGGAGTCCATACCCTTCTCTATTGGTTACTTCTTTTCTATAATATTGTGTCATTGCTTGAACATCTTGTATTTTACACATGAATTAATAATAAGCTACCGTTAAAAAAAAAGGATATATTCTTTTGGAATGGAGTGAATGTGGGAGGGCGCCACCAAGTTAAGAATAATCAAGAGTGTTGTGAAAGTCATTAAGGTTCCTAAGGACAATTCTGATCCATCCTGTCATGGAAAATTAAGATCTCGCTCTATCTCTCTTCTACGCAACGACACGACGCACGTGCATCTGGGGCCGGTTTCGATGGACCACTAAACATGAACTATAATATTTTCCATCTCCGCTTGCGCAGAAGCACCACTGCAACCTGTTTATGTCTGTTGGTTTTGGAACCTTGCTTGTGTAGAAAATGCAGCAAAATAGTGGCTATTTGACAATAGTAGGAAGAATAGCCCTTGGGCTGAATTCCAAACTCGCCCGTTGTGTCTTAAGGAGAGCAACTACCAGTAATATGCTGTTTGGTTTGGGATCTTTTCAATTTATTGTTTAATTAAAGGCCAAAGCCAGAGCTGAATCCCCTCAAGCTGCACTTGCTCTTACTGTAATGAAATCTTCTTTGGTTTTCCAGGAGGTTTAGGGTTTAGGGTCAGCAGCATCTTTCTGCCATACAATCTGAACATGTTTGACAGCGAGAACAGCTGATGCATGTTTTACATGATCTTTCTAAGTCAATAGTTCTAAAAAATGTAAACATCAAGCATCCCTCCAAGATGAACCAATGATCGTAATATTACAATCCAGGATCTTGATAACATAATTATTGGATTTTTCTTAAGGTTCAATGCATCTGTTTGACTTTGTAGTGCACAATATGCTATATACAGTCGAAACAGATGTTTAAGATATTTAAACATTTATAAATTGTAATCACTCTTGTTTTTGTTTTTACTTTTTAAGTTTCACAAACTGTAGTTTTGTTTTTACTTTTTAAGTTTCACAAACTGCCTGCATCTTTCCAATTATCGTGACATAGACAATGTGCAGCATGTTCTTCAGCAACATGTGTGGTTATTCAAATTAGTGGGATTTAATGTAGTCAAAAGCAAGAGAAATATAATACACACTTCAATATTTCAACTTACTGTAATTAAATTTCATTTCAATAATTATTGACAAAAAAGGAATCCATATTTGATTAAATAGTTTGGATAAAAATGTGGTGTTTCTGTTCATTAGAGTAAATTAAAGATGCTTTTCTTTCATAGGAAAAATTCCTTTCCAGAACAGTATTGCAGCAGATGAAAAGATAAAGATTTATATTGTTATGTTTAGTGGGGTTTCCTTGTCAATTATATTTGGATCAGAGAGTACAGAAAGGATAAGCATGAGATACACTACCCAAACTCTCTCTGTAAGCCCCCCACAAAAGGTTCCCTACCCTAAATTATATCTTGAGGGGTCAAAGTCATGTGTCCACCCCTTAATTATGGCCTGATAATATATACAATATATACATGATATTTCCATCTCATGGTAATGTACTCCACCAAGCCATTATATACTTAGAATTAAATACTGATCATAAGACAAGCAAAATTGAACCAATTGAAGTATCAACTATCAGACTATCTTAAATTGGTACAAGAAGTAAACTTAAAGGCCAAGAACTCGAACTCGAAATTGAACAATGATGCCAACATGTTTAAAGTAACCTTCTATTACACGACTCTACCAGCCTGACCAGTTGAACTTTTATAAAAAATGTTTCCTCATAGGAGGGTATGCATGTCCTTTGTATAGCAAGAAAAGAAAAAACAATAAATTCACATCATCAAGACAAAGTAAACAAAAAAATTAGCCAATGCCTATATTATGAGATCTTATGGTCTTCAAGTAACAAATATAATCAAAATTGACCACTTAAAGTAATATTAATCTTATGGTCTTCAAACAACAAATATAATCAAAATTGACCATAAGATTAATCTTATGGCCTTCAAGCAACAAATATAATCAAAATTAACCACTTAAAGTAGGACTAATACTATGGTCTTCAAGCAACAAATATAATCAAAATTGACCACTGCAAGTAAGAATCAATCCTATGATGTTGAATCCACTCCAATTTAAATTGTGGGGCAAAGAGTTCTTACAAATGAGTGTTGTCAATATTCCATATACAAAAATGCAAGTAAAATAACAAGGAACTCATGTAGCCATGTCTACATTTGCATCCAAGCAACATAGTCACGTGGGCCACCGCCACGACTTGGTGAATCAGAAGCCCCAAAGCCTTAACACCCTAAACCAACATTGATTTTGCAGTATCATTCAAACCATTTTCAGGGATCAATCCACTACCTAATTCAGCCTCTCGTCCATCGTCTAAAACAAATGAATTATGCGGATCCAAGGTTGATATTCGTAGAGTCTCTTCTCCTTTCTCTTCCATTAACTCTTCATTGAAACTACGATTGAAAAGATTCTCTGAGTACATTTTCAGTTGGTCATCCAAGGGTGATAACTCAGTCTCTGCCCCCCTCTCTTCCATGTACTTACAACTAAAACCATTAAAACTTCTATTGAAAAGCTTCACAGAGTACATCTTCAATTGGCCTTCTAAGAAGTCTCTCTCTGCATCTTGTTTGGCTATTATTTCACGAAGGGATCGGATTACTTCTTGATCATAAATTTGCTTCTGCTCTGCCACTCTTTGGTACTGTCTAGCTTGCATTTCCACCATGCTTTTCTCAGTCTGAAGTCGAAGAATCATGCCCATGGCTTCATTGGCTGCTGAGGCAGAGGCTTTCCTCTCTTTCTCGAGTTCTAAACAAGCAGCTTTCCTAAATTCTCTTCCTAATCTCATGACCCTTTCTAGATTTGTTTCGAAAAACTCATCTTCTCCTTCCTCACAACTTTCATAGCTCTCCAACTCAGTCTCCAATTCTCTCTCTATGGAGCCTATGTCTTTATTTTTTCCATCTTCATCCAGTTCACCCCATTTAACTCCATTATTAGTGGTAGAGCTGAGAGAAAATTTGCATTTCTGGCCATCAGGCTCATGCAAATTACATGAAATTCTAGAATTGTACCTCCCCATTTTCTTGATAACAGAGTTTTTCATTAAAACCCCATGCGATGCTTTTGAACCATGAATAGGGTTTTGTTGATTACTATGAGATTTACAGGGATTGGGATCACAGGGGGAATACACATTTCTCACATTACCTAAATCTCTCCTAAAATCATCCAGATTCCTATGCATTTCCCAAAGTCTCCAAATCACCAACAAAGAAAGAAGAACCAGAATAACCAGAAGGGATAGGATTATTTCTGTTGTGTCAAAACCAAAATAACCAGAATATATTTTATCCTTCCCCGAGCAACTATAATGCAAAGAACTGTTATCCATTATTAAAACCCAAGAAAACCCATCAATTGACAGAGAAAGGAGGAAAACTTAAGGATTGATTCTGTGTTTTATGACTAAAGCTTGCACCGAACTTCAAATCAGTGCAGTGTGATGAACCCAATGACAAAATATGGAAGAAGTTCAGAAAGAGAAATGCATGAATAAAAGATTTTTCTAGACAGAGAGAGGTATAAAACTGAAGCAGTAATGATATATTATATCCAAAAAGGAGAAGAGAAGATCAATTATCAAGAAGAAGTAACCAAGTTGGCATTCGTAGTTCGTGCATTAAAGTTCAACCCAAGTTGAAATTAATGGAATTTACTAAATTCCATTGATTGAAAAAGGAAGAATAGAGGACACGGGTACAAGTAGAGCATACAGGACTCGAAACAAGAAGTATACACAGAAGAAGAACTAACCCAAATAGGCAGAATAATCCGAGATTTTGCTTTTGTGTTCATGCATTCAGTTTCAAATTTCAAACACAGATCAATTCACTAAATTAAAATGAACCCAAAGGGTGGAATCAAAGGATACCTCACAGAAAGAGGAGAGAGAGAGACTCTCTAGAGAGAGAGAGAAAAGAGGGACTCACCGGTTTTACTTAGAGAGGGAAAATTATGTGTTACAGGCCACCAACAAATGGTTGCATAAATGGCCACACTTTTAGAGAGAGAAAGGTGGGTTTTACAGAGAGAAGAACTGGGTGATGGAATCTCTATCATCTATGCATCAGGGACTGAGAGAGAGCATGTGGGAAAAGCCATCTCTTTCGGGGGAGAAGGATATGGGGGGCTGTGATCTTTGATTTTCGAGGTGTGGTGGTTTGGAAACGGTTTTTGCGAAGCCAATAAATACAGTGACGATGAGAGAGAGGGTGACAGAGTGTAGAGAGAGAGAGGCCGACAGAAACGAGGCAGACAGTGAGCAGAGACCTGAGAGAGAGAAGAGAGATGGCGCTTCGGGTCTTTGGATTATTAATCGGAGAAATTGAAAAATATTAATTGGCGTTTTTGAATTAAAAACTTGTCATAAAATCGAACACGTATACACATGTACTATATTTCTTGGTATCAACCTTTCTTATACCTGTAAGTCTTCGACTCGATTGATTAATATCTTTTTATTTTTTATTTTTAACTTTCATATCATGTGAAATTAAAAAATTTATAATATTATTTATAAACAAACAGTCTCCATTTTTTTATCTTATTACTTTTGATTATTTTGATCATAAATTTTTAATTTAAAAAAACATTAAAATAACATCCTATCAAAACTTATCTCTTTCTAAGCTCTCTTTTTCTTCATCATTCTATTCTCTGTCTTCGTTTCTCTAAAACCAGCTCCTAGTCACTGTCCGGTCTCTCTCTCATCATCCTCTCTTTATTTTCTCTCTCCTATTTTCTGTACTCTCTCTTACTCGCCTTTCCAATTTCCTCTAAAAAAATCTCAATTTGCTCTCTCTCACTCTCTCAACCAGTGTTTTAAAAAACCCCGAGTCGAATCGGACTCGCCCAGTTCGACTCGAAAATCGTTAAAAGGGGACCGGATCGCCTAAAAAATCGGAAATCGTCCGGTTCTAGAGAGAACCGGACGATTCTGTACAGTGAATCGCCAATTCACTGTACGGAATCGGCGAGTCCGAACAGTGAATCAGCGAGTCCGTACGGAAATATATATATATATATATATATATATATTTTTTTTTTTTTTTTGAATCCATAATAGATTTTTTTGTAATACTTGATCGATTTTTTGAATCCATGATCGAATTGTTTTGTTTTTTGTAATCCATAATAGAATTTTTTGCAATCCATGATCGAAATGTTTGTTTCTTTTCTTGTAATCCATGATCGATTTTTTGTTTTTTTTTTTTGGTAACCCATGATAGAATTT